CCCCCCCCCCGCCACTCCCAGGCCCCTCTAGTCCCTTCACAGGCTGTCATTTACAGGTACACTGCCACCGAACGTGGAGGTTCTGCGCCGGGTTACAGCCCTCCACTAGGTCCAGGGTTGGGTTCCCGCGAAGAACCGTCTCAGAGGTGAGGAGCCAGGCCCTTCTCTGCCCCACAGCAGGGGAGGCTGGACAGGAACAGCTGCCTGACTCGACAGGGCAGCTTCTGAAATCCCTACCTCTGGGTGGGGGGGCACCGCCTGTGAAGCCTCCTTGGCGGCTTGGGGGGGGACATCCTTTCTGGATTGCTCCCCAGCTCCGGGAACAGACAGAGGCTGTCCCCCCCCCCTCCAATGCTCCCTCTAACCCGTGGAGTCTTGCGAGCAAAAATCCTACTCTGTGAGCTCCTGGCATTCAAGTTGCCATTCAACTGTGTGAGCTGGAGGCTAAAAACCTGTGAGCTAACTCACACTAACTCAGCTTAGAGGGACACTGGACGTCTCACCCTGAAGCTCAAGAAACTGCCACAGAGCACAGCCTCTATGGGGCCGAGATGCGCTCGTGTGACACTCCGCGTTTGTGCCTGGAGACATGCGAAAGCCGTAAATGCCCATTCCGGGGGGCGGGGGTGGCCACATCCCACCCTGAACGCACAGCCACAGTCTCAGAAAGCTTCCCTTGGCCATAAGAACATCAGAGAACACAATGCTGGATCAGGCCAATGGCCCATCCAGTCCAGCACTCTGTGTCACACAGTGGCCAACAATACCAGGTGCCCTCAGGAGGTCCAGCAGTGGGGCCAGAACTCCAGAAGCCCCTCCCACTGTTGCTTCCCATCCCAAGCACCAAGAATACAGAGCATCACTTGCCCCAGACCAAGAGTCCCTACCTATACCTTGTGGCTAATAGCCACTGATGGACCTCTGCTCCATATGCTTACTAATTCCCTCTTGAAGCCGTCTATGTTTGTAGCCGCCACCACTTCCTGTGGCCGTGAATCCCACGTGTTACTCCCTCTTTGGGTGAAGAAGGACTTCCTTTTATCTGTTCTAACCTGACCGCTCAGCAATATCATGGAGTGCCCACAAAGAGTTCTTGTCTTGTGAGAAAGGGAGAAAAGGACCTCTTTCTCAACCTGCTCTATCCCGTGCATAATCTTATAAACCTCAATCATGTCACCCTTCAGCCAAAGGAGACTTAAGTAGCTTCCAGTGGCCCCGATCCAGTTTCATTTTGGGGGGACAGGACATGCCGCAGGGCAGTCCTGCGGTACATTCAGTCCTGAGCTGTGGTGTTTGCTGTGCTTGGGATTTGTAAACGGCTTCTCACCTGCGGCAAGGAGAAAACACCTGCGGGCAACCCGGCAGCGGGAGGAGGAGGAACTTTGGGAAAGTGGAAGGTCTCCCCCCCCCCCGTGGGCATATGTTATTTGTGGTGGGGGCAGGAGGACTAGCAGCAATAGTTGCTGGCTACTTGAACAGACCTATTTGCTAAGCTCATTTAACCATACAGTTTGGTGTCGTGGTGAAGTGCGCGGACTCTAATC